TGACGTCCGGAGTGAGAAATGGGTGAAAGAATGGGTCTACCCTGATAGCACAGAGGGGCACTGTGTACTCCAGGGAAAGTGAAGCAAAGAGGAGAAAAAGTGAAGCAACCCGGTGCTGGAGGTCGGCTGTAAAAACAAAACAAAACAAACAAACAAACAAAAGAAAAAAGTAGCGGGGCGCGGGGAGGTTGCGGAGATCGGAGGCGTCTGCACTAGGGGATGAAAGGAAGAGTGGACCCTGAAAATGGAAGGCAGTCCACTCTATGAAGTGTGTGTGTGTGTGGGGTGCCCTAGAGGAGGGAGGCTGTTTGAGGGGGGATGTGGATGGAGGGTCTACGATGGAAATGGGGGAGCGGCTCTTCTGTGGGGGAGTTGTAGGAGGGGTCAACAACAGGAATAAATACGGGAGGTAGAGATCTACAAGTGAATAGCGTCTGCACTGAAATAACTAGGGGAGGCTCTACCTTGGAAGTGGAGGTGACTGCGTTGGGTGATGTGGGGGAGGGGAGAGGAGAAAAGGGTTTATAACGGAAGAGGGAAGGTTCTACGCTGGCGGAATTGAGGAGGTAGAGGGCCCGGACAGAAGCAGCTAGACAAAGGCGGGGGGGGGGGTGTCTCGAATTGGGGAGTCTCTCCAGAGGATGAAAAAGAAGGGCTCTTATGTTGTACCCAGGAAAATATACGTGAGGGACCCTGCACCGCGGTCCCGTGAGAGAGAGAGGTCTGGGTGTGGCACCCTCAGGCCACATGGGCCCCCAGCCCACGAACTGCTCTCTAAGCGCAGGCCGAACCATGGGTACCCAAAAGCCGCGGATCCTGCCCTGGCTGAAGTTGCAGCTGGACTTGGGGCGGCTGGAGGGGGTGGCCTGGCTGGACGAGAGTCGCACGCGCTTCCGCATCCCGTGGAAGCACGGCTTGCGCCAGGATGCCCAACAGGAGGACTTCGGCATCTTCCAGGTGAGTGAGCTTCCCGGACGCCCGAAACCCTGAGCTGCCAGCCAGGCGGGATGGACTCCCAGGGGGTGGAGCCGGGAAAGCGGGGTTAGCACGCCTGTGATCCGCCCGAGCTGACGCTGGCAGTTGGAGGTGGGTGGAGTTAGGACAGGACCCGGCCGGGTTATCGGTGCCGGGGTTATCGGTGTCGACCGCAGGCAATGTTGGAGCGGCCAGTTTCCGGGAAAAGAACCGGAAAAGCGGGGTAATTTCTCGAAGGAAATGCATCCTGGGGGATTCAGAGCTCGCAGAGGGCGGGGGGCTTGGTCATAGAATTCTGGGGGCGGGGCTTGGAACCTTAGAGGCGAGACTTGGCCCCCAAGCTGAGGTGATGCCCCACCAAGTTAGAATATACCAGTGGTGCGGTATCCCGGGTTAGAGTGTGAGGGGGCGGGGTTATTACAGGGTATCCTGGGGCAGGTTGGTGGCAGAGTTAGACACCCAGTAGGACCTGGAAGTTTGGCTTAGAAAGCAAAGGTTTTCAAAAAGTGAAGATAGGGGACCTTGGGGTGCAGAGAATCCAAGGGTTTAGGGATGGAACCTTGCCAGGTTAGAACGTGCCAGGTTAGAACGTTGGGGCAGGGGGTCTTAGTCACCCTCACTATCCTCGTCAACTGGATCCCCAGGCCTGGGCCGAGGCCAGCGGCGCCTACACTCCTGGAAAGGATAAACCTGATTTGCCCACCTGGAAGAGGAATTTCCGATCGGCCCTGAACCGGAAGGAGGTGTTGCGTTTAGCGGAGGACCGGAGCAAGGACCCCCACGACCCCCACAAGGTCTATGAGTTTGTGAACTCAGGTGTGCCAGAAGTGGGGCTTCACGTGGAGGGGTGGGATTTTGAGTGTCCCCGACACCCTTCTCCACTTACCACCTTCCTTGACAGGAGCTGGGGACTTTCCTGAGTTGGACACCTCTCCAGATACCAATAGCAGATGCAGTCCCTCTGACACCCAGGTCAGAACGCATCCCAACCCTCCTGCCCTCCTGTCTCGGGCCCGTCTTTCTGTCCCCATGGCCTTGTTCAGGCTTCCTTTTCTCCCCCTGGACCTTCGCCTCCGTCTTCCTCCTGAGCCTCCCTTCTCTCCCCTGCAGTCCGTCCCCAAACTGAGCTAAAGCTGACCCTGTCCCTCCCCTGCTCATAGCCCTGCCATGGTTTCCTGGCATCCTCAGGAGAAAATTCGTTTTCACCAGGCATTTAAGGCCCTAATATACCTTCCCAGAGTTTCATAGCTTCCCTTGCTATTTAGGGTACCCTCAGCCTCCCGGGAACCCAGAACCACCCTCCCCTTGGTCTTGCTGATGTCTGCGTTGGGGCAGGTCCCCCTCTGAAGTCGTGTCCAGCCTTCTCTGCCCAGGTCTGGCTTGCACAGGGCCAGATCCTGGGGCCAGATTTAGCCACTCCCCTTGGGCCGGCAGTAGGCCCAGCATATAGCAGAGCATGTATTTTGCCATTCTGTGCCCACGGTGGTCTCCCACCCCCACCCCCAACTGGAAGCCCCTTGAAGGCAAAGCTCAGCTGTGACTCCTCTCTGGGTCCCTACATTGCTGGGCACAAAGGCCTGGTCTATATGGCGTCTCCAGAAAAGGCTGTGGAAATGCCTGGGTCCTTTTCTTTTCTTCCTTCTCTCCAGGAAGACATACTGGAGGAGTTGCTGAGTGACATGGCCTTGGCCCCATTCCCAGATGGGGGGCCCTCGAGCCTGCCTATGGTCCCTGAGGAGACCCCTCCATTCTTGCTGAGCCCCAGCGTAGACATCCCTGCCCCCTGCCCAAACCTGCAGCCCCCGGAAAACCCACTGAGGCGGCTGTTGGTGCCTGAGGAAGGTGAGCGCCGACTGTAGGGTGGGAGGGGCTGGGGCGATGGACCCCCTTATGCTCACTCAATCCCCCTCCCCCTTCATGTCGCTGCTGCCGCTGCTCAGAGTGGGAGTTCGAGCTGACTGCCTTCTACCGGGGCCGCCAAGTCTTCCAGCAGACTGCCCTCTGCCCGGGGGGCCTGCGGCTGGTGGCGTCAGATGCAGACCAGACACTGCCTGGACAGCCAATAATCCTGCCAGACCCCGGGGTGTCGCTGACGGACAGGGGCGTGATGGGCTACGTGAGGCGTGTGCTGAGCTGCCTCGGTGGGGGGCTAGCTCTGTGGAGGGCGGGACAGCGGCTCTGCGCCCGGAGGCTGGGGCACTGTCACACGTACTGGGCCTTGGGCGAGGAGCTCCTCCCTGACAGTGGCCACGGGCCCAGCGGCGAGGTCCCCAAGGATGAGGAAGGAGACGTGTTCGACCTGAAGCCCTTCGTGGCAGGTGAGTGAGGCAGGGTCTTAGCTCTGCTGTGGAAAGAGCGTACCCCAATGGTTCAGAACTCTGAGGTCCGGAATGGAATTCAGAGGACTGAACTTCGGCCTGGGGCAAAAAGACTGGATTGCTCTGAGTCTGTCGGAGAAGGGTCTCCACTGCCTGGAGCCGGTAGGCGGCGGGGGGCGCGGTGTGCGGAAGTGCTCGAGGAATTACCTGCCACGGTCATCACGATCACCAGTTATTACCACTTACCAGGATAGGGGGCCAGAGAGATGCAGGAGAGAGAGGTCCTTCAGAGCTTTGCTGTCCAATAGATAATGTCTGCAGTGCTGGAAACGCTGTGTGTGTGCGCTGTCAGGCGTGGTACCCGCTAGCCGTGTGTGGCTACTAAGTACTTAGAGGAGGCCAATGCAACGGAGGAAGGGACTTTTAAATGTTGACTTTAATTAGTCACATGTGACTTAAATGTGAATGGCCACAGGGGCTACTGGCTCCTATCAGGAGAGGGTGGCCTTGGGGGGTTGAAGAGCAGTTAAAACTGCCAACCACCTGGGCCTCCAGAATCCTGGAACGTCCCTCCGGGAGCGCGCTCCTGTGGGGGGTGTGTGTGTGTGTGTGTGTGTGTGTGTGCGCACATCTTCCAGCCCCACCCCATGGGAGGAGGAATGTTTAAGATTGTGCCACCACTGTGGGGACTTGGCCCAGATCAGCGGCCATCTGGTCATGGTGGTATAGGGATGTTGGGCTTCAGGTCAGGGATGAAGGTGAGGCTGTTTGTTACTCAGGTCTGGGGGGCAGGGAGGGGGAAGGGGAGGGTCTTCTTCCCATGCCTCACTAAGCTCTCGGGCCTCCAGAACTGATTGCCTTCATTGAAGGAAGCGGACACTCACCACGCTACACCCTCTGGTTCTGCGTTGGGGAGCCATGGCCCCAGGACCAGCCGTGGATCAAGAAGCTCGTGATGGTCAAGGTGCTGCGGGCCTGGGCTCCTGGAGCTAAAGCGGGGGGGATCTTAACAAAGGGCAGAGGAACTACAAGTCCCAGAAGCCCCTCTGAAAAACTACAACTTCCAAGAGTCTCTGCAACCACCAGATTCTCATCCAGAGGAGCTTCTGGGTGTCCCTCTTTTCTCCTCACCCCTACAACCTGTTTTGAACTCTCAAAACCATGTGGAAGTCGGTGGACTACGAGTCCTCACAGTCTCTGTGAGGAACCACAGCTCCTAGGAGTCCTTCTGACCACAAGCTGCTCAGCCCTAGCTTCTGGGAACCCCTCCAGCACCTCAGCCCTAGGAAACTTCTTGGACCTCTGGTGGTTGTGGTTATAGGGAAAACTACAACTTCCGGCAGCCCTGGGCCAAATAGTTCCCCCGGAGTTACAGTGTAGGGGCTGCTGGGAGTTGTAGTCCACTCAACCCTACCCCTGCCCGTGAACCAGGTGGAGTGTTTTCCCTGACCGGTTTCCCCCCCACTTCCTGCAGGTTGTTCCCACTTGTCTCAGGGCCCTGCTGGACATGGCACGGTCAGGGGGCGCCTCCTCACTGGAGACCACCGTGGACCTGCACATCTCCAACAGCTACCCACTCTCCCTCACCTCGGACCAGTACAAGGCCTACCTCCAGGACCTGGTCGAAGACATGGATTTCTAGGTCACTGGGGAGATCTGACCCCTCACTCCTCATGGATGATGGCCTCTTGCGCCCTCACCTTGGCCAATAAACTGTTTCTTACCACTGTCACCACTTGTGTGTCTGGTATTCAGGGTCTCCGGGCTAGCCCTGACGCAGGCCAGGCATTATTCCTTCTTAGGGCATCAGCTGACCCCTCTGTGCAACCCACAACCCAGATGCTCACTGCCCAAGGACCAGACACTGCGGGGGCAGCTGATACTGGTCACCTCCTTTCCCCTTCCCAGGGACCTGGTGAGGAGGTGTGACAGTCACCTCCGTTTTATAGACCAAGACACTGAGGCTTGGAGAAGAGCAAAAGTCAGACAGTAGGAAACACAGGACGGGTTAGAAACCAGGCCGGGTTCCAGGGTTGCTGCTCTGCGAGGGAGGCCCCAGGGCAGAATCTAGAACCTCTGTCTCGTTTATAAACAGTTCAGGCCCCTGTCCAGTAAGCAGAGAGCCTTGTGCTGTTGGCTGGGGGCACCTTGGGTCCCCTCCCAGCTCCTGCCAGGTGACCTCTGGCCCTGGACTCCCTGCTGCGTGGGGCTGGAGCAGGCAGTCGTAAAGGAGCTCCGTGCCCCAGCCCTGAGGCCCGCCCACTCCGGTGACCCAGGCCTACTACCTCTCCTCACCACATCTGGGTTCTGGGTAATGTGGACTGACGAAGGCCAGCGTGGCCCGGACTCACTGTGTGGCCCTTGCCGCTCTGTGCCTCAGTTTCCCTCTACCTCAGGAGAATGGGTAATATCACCCCAGCCTCGAAGGACTGGTAAAAAGGGAATCCAACTAAATGGGGGACAAAAGTCCTGTTGCTGAGGCAATTCCAGGGCAGACAAATAGCACCCAGGTGCCCTTAGCCTGGAAGACACTGAGCAGGTGGGACCTGGGACCCCAACCTCCCACCCGCCACCATTTTCTGTCAACAGCAACCACTTGCTATGTAGCTGATGTGGCGATTCTAAGTACGTCACTTGCCTGGGTCTTCGTCCTTGTAACACCCACTTCAAGGATCAGGAAACTGAGGCCCGGAGAGAGAAAAGCACTTCCCCCGAGTCACACCCTGCTAACCACCCTCAGACCTGGGTCAGACCTGGGCAAGTCTCTTCCCAACCCTTTCCCAAACTGGTCTCTGAAAAGAAAGGGCTGGGGTGCCTGGGTGGCTCAGTCGGTTAAGCGGCCGACTTTGGCTCAGGTCACGATCTCGCGGTTCGTGAGTTCGAGCCCCGCGTCGGGCTCTGTGCTGACAGCTCAGAGCCTGGAGCCTGTTTCGGATTCTGTGTCTTCCTCTCTCTCACCCTCCCCCATTCATGCTCTGTCTCTCTCTGTCTCAAAAATAAATAAACGTTAAAAAAAATTAAAAAAAAAAAAAGGGCTGAAATCATGGGGCTCGGGGCTAACATTTCATGAAATCTTTAATGAAACTGGGGGAGGGGCACAAACAGAAGGGAGGGGCGATGGGGACAGGCTTGGGGGCAAGGGGCACAGGGCTGGGCAGGGCAGGGGGCTCTCCTCTTCCCTGCAGCAACCCTCCCCCAATCATCCCACTGACGGGGCGGGGGAGGGAAGTGGGGAGGTGGAGCCATAAATACGTCCAGAATTCCAAAGAGGTGAAGGAAGGAAGGGGTGGCCGAGGGTCTCAGAGAGGGGGCAAGGGCAGGCCTGGGCCACCCTTGTCAGGGGGTCCAGGCTCCTTGGGCGGCCGCGGGGGCCCTGGGGGGTCCCCCGGCTTGCGGCCATGCTTGCGGAAGTAGCGGTAGCGTTGGACGTAGGCCCGCACCAAGTTGCTCACCTTCACTGGGTTGATCTCCCCGCTTTTGCTGTGGCAGATCTAGGGGGTGAGAGGCAGCTGTGGTCACCTCCAGCCCCCCCGGGGTCCCCTCCACCTGGACTGCTGACTGCGGAGCACAGCTGCGAGCTGGGATGGGAGCCGCTCCCCCAGATTCCGGGCCAACCCCCCTACGTGTCCCCCTGATGTCAGCGGGACAGGCCCAGGTGGGCTTGAGCAAATCCTGTCCCCTCCTCACCTTCCACACTGACCCACCATCCCCGGCTCCCCATGCATGCACATGTCTCCTTCTTGTCCTCTCCCCACTTCTGTGGATCTGTCCCCCGCTGGGCCCCACCTTGTGGACAGCCTTCCTCAGGATGTCCTTGTACTCCTCCTTGGTGATGTCCTTCTTCTGATAGTACGGCTTGATGGCCAGCTTCACCTCCTCCACTGCCCTCTCCTGCGTGTGCAGCTTCTTCAGATACTGGCAGAGGGGGTGACGGGGAGGGAAGGAGAGACGGCAAAGGCCGGATGAGTTCCTGCGGAACCCCAGGCCTCCACTCACCTGCCTGCCAGCTCAGCCTCCTTGACACATCCAGCTACTCCTGGAGGTGGAGGTCCTGCTCAGGATCTGCCCTGTGTTGCCCTTGCTGCGGTCACCCCAGACCACAGGCCAGGCCGGGCCTCTGAACATCACTTGAACATCACCTAGGCTGGACCTGGGGCTATCCCCGGTGGCCTTGACCAGGACACATATGTCCACTGCCCATTTGTAAATTTTGTAATTTACACGAAGTAAAATGGGGCGTTTGGGTGGCTCAGTTGGTTGAGTGTCCGACTTCGGCTCAGGTCACGATTTCACAGTTTGGTTCAAGCCCCGCATCAAGCTCTATGCTGACAGTTCAGAGCCAGGAGTCTGCTTCAGATTCTGTGTCTCCCTCTCTCTCTGCCCCTCCCTCACTTGTGCTCCCTCCCTCTCTAAAATAAATAAATAAACTTAAAAAAAAAATTACACAAAGTAAGAAACAGGCGACCCCATCATCTGGCAATTGGCTGTTTGACCACAATGACCTTTTTGGACCTGACCGAAAGGAAAACCGGCCTGAGGCCTGTGAGTAGAAGCCAGATGCAGCTAAATGAAAACTGGTTTGTTCCCACTCGTGCATTTGAATCAAAGTTTAGTTCCTTGGGGTGCCTGGGTTCCTTCTTCAGTCGGTTAAGCATCTGGCTTCCACTCAGGTCACCATCTCACTGTTATTGAGTTTGAGCCCTGCATTGGCTCTGTCCTGACTGCTTTGGATTCTGTGTCTCCCTCTCTCTCTCCTCCTCTGCCGCTCACACTCTATCTCTCACTCTTTCAAAAATAAATAAACATTGAAAAAAAAATTCTAGTTCCATACAATTCAACGACTTCTGTTTCATCTGAGTTCCCACCTGTTGGCATCAGTCTGCTATTCTCCTTGGGCCCCTGCACTTCAGCATCTGCAAAACTGTCACCATCAACCCACCTCTCCCAAACCCAGCTCACCTTGTCTGTGTCCCCACGTCCCTCGGAGCTGCTGCTGCCCTCTCGCTTGTCAGATGCTGCAGCCAGCCCAGTGGGGGTGGGAGGGGTAGAGCCGCAGCCCCCCAGGGGGAGGCTGCCAGGGAGCAGGTAGCTGGAAGGGCCAGGGGGTAGACCCAGAGAGGTGGGCACAGGAGCTGGGGTCACCCCCAGACTGGAGGGTGGCTTTCGGTGGCTGAGGATCTGTCGGAAGAGGTCGGAGAGCGGATGAATAAAGGGAGGGGGAGGGAAAGAGGGAACATGTACCCCCATCCTTCCCACCCCGATTTCCAAATTGTCCCAGAGGCAAGAGGCCTCTCCTCCTGCCGACCCCTTCCTTGTCCCAAGGTCTGCTGAGAATTGTAGTTCCTCTCCTAATCAGAGTCAGGGGACAAGAAGAGGGACTGTGGGGACTCTTCCCCAGAGGGGCCCACCTGGTTGGTGGCCTGGATCAGCTCCTGGGCCTTTGCTCGGCTCGCCAGATTGGCTTCTTCCATCTTGAAGAGAAGTGCAGTCACTGCAAGAGGCAGAGAGTTGAGGACAAGGACATCAGGAGCTGACACAAGAGGTCACCTAGGCACCTGCTGCCGTCTTCCCCCCGGGCCCTGGAGAGACCATAGGTTTCGGGCTCAGAATTGGGAAAAGGGGACCTTGGCCAGTGAGAGAACGGCTCCGCACCCCACATATTCTTAGGACTCAAGGTATGTGTGTGGTCCGGGGGGGAAATAGGGCCAGGTCATTCAGGGACGAGGTAGCGGCAAAGGTGAGATTCTGTCTCAAGCCCCCTGTGCCCTATTGCTATCCCTTAAGGGACAACGCTCCCTGCTCACCCTGTTCTTCCTGGTCCCTCCACCACACCCAACCTCGTCCACCTCCGGGTGGACCCCAGAACACGGCCCACTCCTCCAGCCTGTGCTGGGCCGGCCACCCCCCCTCCCCCCACTCACCTGCCTGCTCTCCTCCAGCACAGCCAGACATCTACCAGCCTTCTAGACAGCCCCTCATCAGCCCTCACCCACCCAAACCCCTCGCAGTCTGGGTCACTGTGCACCTACCCCCTCCAAAGCATCCCCACTGCCTCCAAGCCTGTCCCCACAGGACCTGGTCCTCCCCAATCCTGTCTGTCCCAGCCCGCGCCCCCCACCCCAGGGCACACTCACAGGCCAGGACACCGCTGGTGGTGCAGTCCACACCAGCAGGCAGGTTCCAGGGCATGGGCGGGGGCAGCGTGGGCAGCTGGGAGACACGGGTAGCCGGCCCATCCTCTGCCCCTGAGTCACCGGCTGTGGACCCCGCGCTAGGGGCAGTGCTCGGGGCAGCTGCGGCCGTGCTGGTGGCCGTGGTGGTGGCAGGCTGCTGCTCTTCCTCCTCCTCCTCTTCCTCCTCCTCCTCCTCTTCCTCCTCCTCCTCCTCTGCCCCGCCTCGGACCCCAGCCTCCTCAGCGGCCTCCTCGGGAAGGAAGGAGACCTCGGGGGTCTTGCAGCTGCTGTCCACAGTCTGGGAGTCCGGTGTGAGTGCAGGGGGGGGAGGGGCTGCCTTAGGGGGCGGGGTGCTAGGGGCCTTGGCCGCCCGCTCTTCCCCGGACCAGGAAGTCTCCTCCACCCCCTTGGCCCCCGCTGCCTGGCTGCAGCTATCCGCCTTGGACTTCTTCAGCGTCGCAGGGCCGCCGCTGCCCCCACCGCTGCCCCCGCTGCGGATCTTTTTCCTGGTCTTGGATGGCTTGGTCTTTCCCTTGGTCCCCTTGGCTTTCTTGGCCCCAGCCTTGGCCTTGACCTTGGTCTTTTTGGGCTTGGTGCTGCCTGGAGCTGCTTTGGCCACCTCTGCAGGGGCCCGCTCATCGGGCTTGAGGAAAGGGGAGCGGCTCTCCCGGTCGCGGCTGAACTTGACTCCGATGGAGCCCAGGCCAGCGGATGCGGCCTCCTTGGCCGGCGTGGTGCTGCTGACGCCTTCGCGGATCAGCACCGCCACCTTAGACTGCAGCTTCACCTTCCGGGAGGAGGAGGAGCACGACGAGGAGGACGAGCCGGAGCCGCTGCTGACTGGTGGCTTTGGCGGAGGCCCCGAGGAGGGCGCTGACTCCTTGGGAGGCCGAGCCTTCTTGGATGACCTGTCCCTGTCCCTATCTCTGTCCCTGTCCCGGTCCCGATCCCCCCCATCCAGCGCCTTCCGCCGTGATCCCTTCTCCCGGGAGGAAGAGGAGGAGGAGGCGGCCCCGGAGCGGCGCCGGTCCTTCTCGCCGCTCTTGCCCCCCCGCTCCTCGGCACTCAGTCCCTCTGAGTCGTACAGGACCTCGCGCTTGGGCGACGAGGCCGGGGCCGGCGACGGGCCTCGGGGGTCGGACTTGTCCGGCCGGCCCACGGTGATGGTCCGCTTGATGGCGAAGAGATCGTGGTCCGTGAGGTCCTGGATGGAAGGTGGCACCGCCCCCCTGCGGCGGCTGTCACGCTCTCCGCCCAGGGAGCTGGAGCCGGAGGGCGGCTGGGTGGGCACCGGGGCCTTCTCGCTGTCCCCAGACCGCTTCTCGCCCCGGGACCGCGACCGCTTCTTCTTCTTCTTGCCGCCGCCGCCGTCTCGGTGCTTGCCACGGTGCCGCTCGCGCCTCGAGGACGACGACGAGGATGTGGCCGGGGGCGGGGAGGCCGAGCGCCGCCGCCGCCGCCGCTTCTCCCGGGACCGCGACCTGCGGCTGCCCCCGCGGCGGCGGTCGGTGCTGCGCGAGCGGCGGCGGGCGGAGCGGGACCGCGAGCGGCGGCGGGCGGACGACGAGGCGTGAGAGCCCGGCTTGCGGTCCCGGGAGCGGTGCTTCTTGGAGTCCCAGGGGGAGGCCGGGGCCGGCGGGGCAGGCTGCGCGCTGGACGACGACGACGCGGCCTCCTTGGCCTCGCCGCCGCTCCGCTTGCGCTCCCGCCTCGACTTCTTGCGGGTGGGGGGGCCCGCGGGGGCGGCGGCGGCGGTGGCGGCGGCGGCTGGGGAGGGCGAGCGCTGGCGGTAGCGCTCCCGACGCTGGGTCAGGATCTTGCGGCGCAGGTCCAGGCCGCCCCAGCGCGTGTCCGCGGTCGGCGGGGCGGGCGCCGGCTCCCCCAGGTCCACCTGCAGGGCGCCCTCGCCGTCTGACTCGGCGTGCAGAGACAGGAAGTCGTCCCCCTCGGGGGCGCGGGGGGCAGGTGGCGGGGGCGGGGGCTGGGCCGCCGGGGGTGCTGAGGCTGCAGGAGGGGGTCGCGCCGCCCGGCCGGCGGCCCGGAAGAGGGAGACTGCCACCCTGGGCTCCTCCTCCGGCTGGACGATCTCGCCCTCCTCGATCTCGGAGTCTCCCGGTGGCAGCAGGGTTGGTGGGATGGCGGCTCCGCCGGCCGTCACCACCTCCACAGAGACCTTGCCTTCCCGACAGGCCTCCGCCTCCGTCCCCACCACGAAGACGCGACGGCGGGTGGCTCCGTCCACCCGGGTGGAGTCCACCTGTGGAGGCGTTCCAGGGGCCGGAGTCGGTTGTGGGGGCTGGGGGTCCGGGCGGGGGCTCTCATCACCTGGGAAGTCCTGGCTCAGACTGTTGTCATCATAGATGCCCGCCAGGGTCTCGGAGATGCGGCTGATGCTCTGGGACAAGCCTTCCTCCTCCTCTTCTTCCTCTTCTTCCTCCTCTTCTTCCTCTTCCTCCTCTTCCTCCTCCTCCTCCTCGGGTGAAGGAGTCCCCGCTGATGAGCTGGGGTTGGAGCCAGTGGGCTCGAAGGGGTCGTACTTCTGCTCCGGAGCAGGTGGTGGGGAATAGGCCTCGTCGGTGGGGTGGAAGGGGTCATAGATGTCGAATCGGGGGGCAGGTGGGGCTGGGGGGGCTGGAGGAGGTGGAGGCGGGGGAGGCGAAGGGGAGGAGGATGAGGGGGAAGGGGAGGGGGAGGAGGACGCAGAGGATGGGGCAGGGGGTGGGGCAGGGCCCCCATCTCCAGTGCCCAAGGTAAGGAGGTGACGGGCACAGGAGGGTCGTGAGGAGTGAGACTGTGGAGACACTGTAAAGGAAGAAAGGAGACAGGGAGCCCCAGTCAGGCACATGTCCTCCTCCCTGGGCCGTGCAGAGGGGGCCGCAGGCCAGTGCCCCAGCCACCACCCCACTCTGGTGGCACCCTGCACTTTGCACGGGACAACTCACAGATGCTCCTAATGACTCCAAGCTGGAGGTACTGCGTCCTTTCAGGAGGAAACTGAGGCACAGAGCACTGCAGTATCTTCCCCAAGGACACACAGCAGGGAGAAGGGGGGGTGCAAACAGCCAATGTAGCCACTGAAGCCACTGAGCCTGTGCTCCCATGTCCTGAGATACACACTGGCCCGCAGCCCAAGAACCCCCTGACCAGTGTCACCACAGAAGACACAGGCTAGAGAAGGGTCGCTGGGATTTGAACCTAAGACCGCTGCTCCAGCTGCCTCTTGTGGGAATCTATCCTGTTTCCTGAAGGGAACTGTGGGCGGCTGAGAAGGTGAATCTCCCTCTCGAGAGCCCAGGAAATGGCAGAGCCAGGGAGCCCTGACAGCCGGAGTCCACAACCCACGCACTTCACTCTGTGACGAGCCCCATCTGAGGGGCAACATCCGCTCAGGACTCAAAGACACCGCCAACGGGCGACAGGAACAAGCAGTGTTCGCCCCTCCACATGGGCCAGGCATCGTGCTTTCCTGCCTAACTTCATTTGTCCTCCTGAGACCCTGCTTTCTGAGGATGACGTGGTCTCCATGCCATCAGTCCCACACACGGTGACAACGGACCTGGGCTGCACCTCCGGACACACACACTGGGGTCCAGAGGCCCCATTCAACCACCTACTACAGGGACCCTGAGATGGCAAGGGCACCAGCATGGTCATGTAGACAGTGACAGGACAGCTGGGGCTTAAGAGGGCAGTGCCAGGGGTGCCCTGGGTGGCTCAGTCGGTTAAGCGTCTGACTTCAGCTCAGGTCATGATCTCACACTTTGTGAGTTCAAGCCCCGCCTCGGGCTCTGTGCTGACAGCTCAGAGCCTGGAGCCTGTCTTAGATTCTGTGTCTCCCTCTCTCTCTCTGCCCCTCCCCAGCTCATACTGTCTGTCAAAAATAAATAAATGTTGAAAAAAAAATAAAAAAATAAAAGAGGGCAGTCCCAGAGCCACCTCTCAATCCAATCCTAGGCTCTGGCCCTCACCCGTGATGTGACCAAGGACAAGGAACTCAACCTCTGCCTGCCTTGGTTTCTTCATGTATACAGTGGGCATGCACTCATTCATTCAGTACATTTTTGCTGATCGCCTATCTTGTGCCAAGCTGTTTCAGGTACTAGGAACAGAACAGTGAACACAACAGACAAAAGTCCCTGCCTTCAAGAAATCTCCATGAGCCACGCAGAAAAGTCTGCCAACTGCTGAGGGCTGTGGAAGAAAATAAAGCAGGGAGGACGGTGATGAGAGCATTCACACATCGCAGGGATGAGGGGACTAGGTGGGCAGCTGTGTGGAACAAACCAGACTGCGCCCGGCCCCACAAGGACTTGGTGAGCACGAGCTATTCCTACCCTGCTTATGAATTATTACCACCACCGGAAGTGTAAAACACAGACTAGAGCGGTCTGGAAATGCAAGACGGCCCCTCCTTTATGTAATCTTTATACGATATGGAATCAGGGATGAGATTTTTTTCCTAAAGTTCTTAATAACTTCCAAATGAAGAAAACCACTTCTAGTAAGAAAATAAAAACCCCAGCATCTCCCACCAAACAGCTCTTACAGTCCAGACACAACTATATCACCGAAGGCCTGACACCCAATTCCCAACGCCTTCTGTTCTTGTAGATAAAGTTTTATTAGGACACTGCCACGTCCATTTGTTTATTTATCCTGTAGGCCTTCTAATTTTAAAAGAAATGAAGAGCTTTTGGGGGGGTTCCCCAAGGGCGTGGTGGGCCCTGAGTACAACGCCCCCTGAGCCGAATGGACAAGACATTTCGCAGCCATAAAAAAAAGACAAGAGAAACCAAAACGGGCACAGCGTGTGTGAGCCACGGTCGGCTGCGCAACAGTCACTTCTGCTGACCGCGCCGACCTCTCCTCTCCATCCCTCCCAACTGTGGATGCACGTGAGGGGGGGGGGGGGTGCGGAGTCTAAACCAGGGATTCCCACCGGGGTCCTGGGGGCCCCTGGAAACCTCACCGAGGAACTGGTTAGAAATGCAAATTCCCGGGCCCCACCCCAGACCCACTGAATCAGAGATCCTAGGAGTAGGCCCAGGGACCCGTGTATCAACAAAGTCCTCCTCCTCATGACTCTGATACCCGCCCAAGTCTGAGAAGCTCTACGCTGCTCACAGGGCTTAACACTCAAAGAGACCTGGGCTACAGGCTCAGGGCCCAGGAGCACCACTCATCTACTGGCTGTGCCACCTTAAACAAGGGACTTCCCTTTTTCAGATTCGTCTCCTCTGGAAGATAGAGATGCTAAGAGCCTCCCCCCACCCCACCCCCAATCCCAGGGAGACGAATTCCCAGTGCAGTTACACTGCCACGTAGCGCTCTGGACACAGAGTGCCTCACACGTGCCGGCCAGGACATCAGCGTTTGCTGTAGGTACGTCTGTAGGTACATAAAGCCTTGCAGTCTAACAGGCAGAGGCTTAAAGATTTTGTCTAAATGACAGGATCGCTACTGTTACTACCAACAACAGCTGACTCGTGCAGGACTCCGAGGCCGCCTGCTCAGCTCTGCCCTGGCCCCACATACCCGTTTTGCCTGTCCTCCAGGCCCTGAGACGGGGCAGCAGGCTAGGCACCGGCAGAGGGATGGGATCCCTGTCCCCGATTCGGACCTCGGCCACCAGCTCCAGCATGTCCTCGCTTCTGCAGGGCAGAAGGGGGTGAGTGAGCCTGAAGGAAGCTGCCAGCTCCCCCGCTAAAGACCTTTCCCACTCCAGCTACCCAACTACTCACTCGCCAGGCCGAAGGTCCAGGTGGCTGGGAACCCAGGTATCTGGGGGATCCAGAACGCTCACCAGCCCCGCGAGGAAGCTGTCTGCGGCCATGTCCAACACCTGGAATAGGCCGGGAGGGGTTCCAACCCGTCCCTCTCACGTGAGGGCCCACAAATCCCACTTCCCCAGCCCCTAAACCTTCAGGAACCCAGGCATCTGAGAACCCGAGAAGACGCAGAGATCCAACCAATTCCCTCATCCTGACTTGCTCCCAGGACCCAAGGGCCCGGCCCCAGGGATGATGCCCCCAACCCCTCCAACACTGCAGCTGATCAGCACCCCAACCCCAAGAGTCTGGGCCCCCAGCCCCCTGCTCTTACTCACAGTAGCCGTGTCGGTCCCCCCTGACTCCTGGGAACGGGGTTCTGACCGTGGGCTCCGGCAGCCCCTCCATCGAAGGCCGTGACACCGGGAGCCATCTGGAGAGAGATTTGCATGGGAGATTGGACACAGGGGACGAGACACAGAGACTCTGTGGAGTCAGAGGAAAGAGGAGCCTGCTCGGGCTCTTGAGGAGGGAGCCAAACTCCTGCCTGCTCTCCCTGCCTCCACCCCTCAGCTCCCACCTTGGGGCCCAGAAAGACTTCCCCAGCGCCGTTCTGAGGCGCTCTCACCCACCTGACCTCCTAGCTGCCCTCAGGATGGATTCCAGACAAGCCAGCCTGGCACGAGAGCCTTGCGGTGACACAGGTCCCATGGAGCTGTCCTGCCTCACCTCCTGCTCACACCCCAGGCCTGCCAGCCCCAAAGAACCACAGCTCGGTCCTGCAACACGCCCCTGTGCTGTGTGCCTGCTGGGTGCCTCTGCCTACCAGGCTTTCCTCTTTACCAGACAACGACTTCAGTACATCCTTGGAGACCCAATTCACCAGTCTGCCCCTCTAGGAAGCCTCCCCAGACCCCATCTCCTCCACACTAGCTTAACTGGGCCTCCTGCGCTCTCCTAGTGCCCCGGGGCCACCTCTGCGCTGTGACTGTATCTCCCCTCCACCAGACCGTGAGCCCCTCCAAGTCAGCCATGGGGTCCGACCCATCTTTGGCTCCCCGAGCCAGCACAAGGGCGGTACCCGGGAGGCCTCAGGAAGTTTTTAGGAATGCAATTAGGATAAAGAATACGGAGAGATGGGACGGAGGCTAAGAGGAACCAGAACCCATCGTACCTTTATCATTTGGCAGATCCCCCTGCAGGGAACTTCCCACAGCCTGCTGAATGGCCCGCTAGAGAAAAGGTGGAGGGTGGAGGGGGTGGAAAGAAAGGGCAGTCAGGGGACCCGTGCAAATGGTCACAAGCTCTGCTCCTGGGAGACAGCCATTCCAGACACCCCTATAACGAAACTCGAACCCTTCAGAGGGGCCAAGTGTCCAGGCCCCCAGCCCCTCCTCCCCCCAGGGCCCAGGAGCTGGGCCCTGACATCTGCATTTCCAGCCTGTCCCTCCCTTGGCCCCAGACATCTAGCAGCCTCACCAGGATAAAGGCAGAAGGAGAAAGCGTGGGGTCTCTGTCCGGCGGACCATCGCCCAGATCCTCGCCCGACTCCTCTGTCTTCCCTCGAGACTCATCTTCTTCCTCCATGGTCACCTGGTGGTTGAGGGGGTGAGAGTTTGGAGTGGAGGCAGGGGTGGGGGGTGGTGGAAGGGGCTGGAAGCAGAGGATGGACGCAAGGATCTCCAGGGCCTCCGCCACAGCTTTGACCAAGCATCCTCCTCAGCATCCTTCCGCCCTCTACCACCACACGCCAGTCCTTGGGCGAGTCCCAGGCCCTGAGCAGACGTCGCAGAGACCAGAATGGCTCTCTTCCCTTGCCTAGATTTCTACTGCTTCCTTTCTTGCAGGGAGGCCTTCTGGCCTCCTATTTCAACACTCCACTCCCCAGTCTCCACTTAAAGCTTCCCCCACAACCAAGCTTTAAGACCTCCCTGCCTGCCCCCACGTTGGCTGATGTTTTTCCCGGTTGAGTTGTGATTTCAAATACTGTGTCCCGCAGTCCCCTAAACTCTCCTCTCCCAAACTGAGATACGTGCCAGTGTACTGAGTATACCTCAGATACCATGCAACTCCCTAAAGCGGCAACGATTCTCCTCGGTGGTGAGGGACCAAAAAAAAAAAAAAAAAAAAAAGAAAGAAAAAACTGGTTTATACACAAAAAATGGAGCTACAAGAGTGATGTACAAAACCAACACCAGACCGAAAACACTACTTTCAGAAAGGCATGCGGAGGACATCCACCTATCACCAATCTGCCCATTGTGGGAGATCATGGCTAAAGCCTTCATGAGGTCACAGAAATTCTCAGATCATTCGGAGGCTGAAAGATTATCCTTCAGACTGGTGGGTGTCCCCATTAGGTCTTCAGAAAGTAGGAGTACTCCAGCTGCAAGCTTCCTTAGAACCATCCAATCTGCTACTGTGAAAACACTATCCGGTCTCCAGAGTTCCCAGAAAGCTTTAAAACCCCTGACTCTTTATGCTTCTCTGTAGACGGGCACCACAAGAGCATCTACCTCCAAGAAGGGCGGTAAGAACTGAAAGCAAAGGGACTTTCTGCTACAGAGTTAGCACAGCCCAAGCGCTCAATACAAAATAACAAAAATTAGCTTCAAGGCCCAGATTTACCGCACATCTACCTCCCCCATTCTCCCAGCTGCACACCTGCCAAGCAAATGCATCGGTCCTGGTCTCCTTCCTACCACAGCTTTCCAAGCTCTGCCCAAGCTCCCACAGGCAACCTCCCAGACAAGAGCCTGTGGCTCCTTCACTAACTCCCACTAACATGTCCCGCCTTGTTGAACCCCCGTGGACAGTTCTCCAGCACCTCTGGGAAAAGCGCATGTTCCGCAGAACAGTGACTGCCACATAACAGGGGCTTTAGTCAAGACCTGCTGAGGACAGACACACAGATCCCCAAGCCCTCCGCGGTGTATGAAGATGCTCCCCTGCCCATTTAGACATGCCCCAGGCTTTGCAGATACATCCACAGTTCTTTATATCTTTTTGACACGAAAAGGTTCTGCAGACGTTGCTAGGTCCCTCTAGATCAGTGTTCCCCAAACTACAGTCTGAGAGCAGTACAGTGCTTTGCAATTAGCTTGTTATAAAAAAATAAAAGTAAATCGAACACAGTTGAAAATTCTTCATGATGCATCACAAGTAGTACGTGGGAATATTAATTAATGGGACTTTGGCATTAAATACACATGTCAGTATGTCCTAGCTCTTAACACACACACACAAAAAATGCACTTCTTACTGTAGATCAAGGTCAAAAGAGTCTGAAAAGCATTGCACTAAATGAGTCTCAATGATCCTACAGACTTCCCCAGACTAATGTGGACTAATTCCAACTCTCTATAGCTCCAGGGCAATGCAGAATTTTTAGCAACATTTTTCATTTAAATTACATTATAAAGTGCAAGTACATTTGAGCTGGGCAAATTTTCCAATACTCTCCTTTGTCTTGTTCTCCACGCGATTACCCAGCCCCAAAAGGCATTCGAATTGCTCCAGGCATAAAGACTGTACTCCTGCAGTCACACTGAAAGCCACCTAGATGGTTCCAGGTCCTTCTAAGTGCCCCCCAGCCTCCTGTCACCCATATTAGACACTCTCAGACGTTAGAGACCCATCCAGGCCTCTCAGCACCCGTCAGTATTTGCCTCCCTCCCTTGGTGGGTACATCCCACCCCCCTGGGTGGCCCTAAAAGACTTCCTAGCCCTCCAACAGTTCTTCCAGACCCGCTACATGGCCCCAGACCCAGGTAGGTGAGCCGCATCCTCAAGGCAGCCCATGTAGACACTCCCAGTCCTAACAGACATACCCCGGGCGCTATAGATGGCTCTGCAGATACTCCTCTGCTCTTGCAGACCTCCTTCACCCTGGGACATATCTCAAGATCTCAAGATGGCCCCAGAACCCTATAAACAGACCCTAGCTTCGGGTCAGCCCGTAAAGACGATCAACAGTGTCTACAGATATGACCCAGGCCAGCTATGTGATGGAGGGCAGGCTCCAGTCTCAGTCCAGGCCCGGTGGACATCCCCAGTCCTTCGGGGACGCCCCGTAGATGCCCCCTGGAACCCACAGACGCGTCCCGGGGCCTTGAGAAGGCCCCCCGTTCGGCGCCAGGCTCCGCCGCCGCTGCCGGGCCCGAGGCCGCCCCGCTAAGTCCGCCAGGCCCCGCGGCGTGTGGGGAGGACCCCGGGACAACTAGCGACCCGACTCCGCCCCGCCCACCCCGATAGGCCCGAGCCCCGCGGCCCAGACTGCCGCCGCCATCTTACCCCGCCGCTCGGGCTGCGGCTCCGGCCCCGGCGCGGGGCGGGGCGGGCTGGGGGGGCTCGCGAGCAGAGGGAGGAGAGGGGCGGAGCTAAAACGCCGCCGAGCTTGCCGGGACTTCAAGTACCGAGCACGGTGCCGTGAAGGCTGGTGGGAAGGCTCCGGACTCAATTTCCCAGCAACCAATGGGGCACATAGGCATGAGCGCGCGCGACGGACGCCGGGAGGCGTAGTCCGCACGTCGCCTCCGTCGCGCGGGGACAGCAAGGAGGTGAGAGGTGAAGTGGGCGGGGTTGCGGCAGCCCGCGACAAGGCCCCACGGTGCCCTGCGCGCGCGCGGAAAGAGCTGCGGAACAGGAAGTGATGTAAGACCACTCAGCCCGACCGCCGCAAGGGAATTGTAGTTCGAGGAGTGGGAAGTAGAAAAACAGCCGGACTTGCTGAGTTGCCCCGCCCACTTTCTGGGGATCCCAGAATCCCGATCTCCTAGTCCTCTCTAAATTTAGAACCAAGGAGCCTGACGTACAACCTCCTCCTCATTTAGGACGGAAAAGTCCAAATTCTGATTCCTCTCATTCAGCAGAGAAGCCTGGACTCCCTATTTCCCCTCCTGCCTGGGACTTGGGAGTCCGACCACTTCTTCCTTCCAACCAGGAGTCTGGCCCTCAGGCCCTTCCTTCCTCAGACCATTGCTGGTCTCCAGCTCGTACTTTACACAGACACAAGTGTTCGGGCTCCCCACCTGAATTCCCTCGGATCCAGAATTCTGAATCCCCGAACCCAACCCCTGAACCCAAGAGTCAGGGCCCCCAGCTCCCTCCTTTACGGAATCCAGTAGTAAAGACTCCCAGATCCCCTCCTCCCCGGGACCCAGGATTCCAGGCCTCCATCCTCATTCTCTCCGAGAGACTCAAAAGCCTGGGCCCTCCGCTTCTTCCTCCTTCAAGCCTCAGAAATCCTGGCCCTAGGCCCTTCATGACTCGGCCACCCCGGCTTGGGCGAGCTGGCTCAGGGATCTGGAATGCAGTGATCTCACGGCCCCTCCCTGTCCCGTTACGCGGCTGTCCCCCCTCCAGGGCCCCATCTCCCCTCCCAGTCTGCCTTCCGCTTGGCTGGGACTCCGGGAACCGGAAGCCTGGGTCCTTTAGCGGGCGGAGACTCCAGCGTCCAGACTAGACACCCGGGTCGGAAGCCTGGCTAGGATCCCAGGACGTAGGTGGAGCTTCCCCTCAAGACCCACTCCTTCCTCCGAGCGCGCCTATATACGGCCGCGCGCGGGTCCACGAGCCCCGCCTACTAAAACGAAGCCTCGGGGACGGTGCCCTGAGAAGCAGTCTCCGGGCTCTTAATTTGCATAGCACCTCCCCGAATGATTTTCCCGACCCGTCGGTCGAGAGAGTGAGAGCGCTTATTACCATAGCCCCGCCCCCAGGGGCCCGCCTGCTGAGAGCGCGTGGCGCTGCTCTGGGTGAGCACAGTTCTTTCATTAACATACTCCCGCCCCATTTGGAATTCCCCTTCACAGCGAAAGCCTTTCCCCTTCCCTTATTAGCATAGCTCCTCCTTTTCCCTGGCCTTGCCTCCTCCCAAGTGTCCCAAGACTCGAATCCTTCTCTCCGGAGCTCATGATTATGCAGTAGCCTTATTAGCGCGGCCCGCCCCTAGGCCCCGCCCGCCCCCCCCCCCCCCCCCCCCGCAGGCAGTAGCGGCGGCGGCGGCAGCGGTGGCGACATGAGCAGCGGGGCGGCGTCCGGGACTGGGCGGGGGCGGCCCCGGGGCGGGGGGCCGGGGCCCGGGGACCCCCCACCCAGCGAGACACACAAGCTGGTGGTCGTGGGCGGCGGCGGCGTGGGCAAGAGCGCACTGACCATCCAGTTCATCCAGGTAGTGGGCCCTCACCCGGGGGGGTGTCCCCGGGACCCAGAACTGAGCTCTTTCTGAGACCCCTATTTCCCCTCGATCCATCACTGAGCACCTCTTATGAGACCTTCTAATCTTAAAAACCCCCCTCAGATTGTGACCCTGAGCCCTCCCAGGGCCTCCACCCCTTCCACCCCCTACACAAGGGGCATATACTGGCATCCTGAAACCCACCATCCCTCCTCCCAGTACCCCGCTTCCCTGCTGACCTGGGCATCTCCTGGGAGCATCCTAAATCCAGAAGTCACCCCATTTAGACCCTAAGCACTCTCATAAGGGCCCCCACCCCCAGGTGCCACCTTCTCCTACCTGAGCCCCATCTCCCCCAAACCCCAGATCCCAGCTTCCTGCCTGAGCCACCCAGAGCCTAACTGGGAGATTACCCCAGCCTAGATGCTTAGCTCCCTCAGAATCTAGAAATTATGCCCAGACTGCCTGGGACCCATCTGGGACCATCCAGTCCTGAGAGAGGCACTCTTAGACTCAAGGGATTTCAGAAACATCAGTGCCCCTTGGCCATTCCAGAGAACTGTAAGACTACAAGTCCTGGGGATCCCCCATCCCCCAAGACAGAGACCTCCCCCCTCTCCCCAGGGAAACCACCCGCTCGTCCATCTTGAATTTTCCTCCACTCTAAATCCTTGAGCGCCTCTCCGAAACCTTGGCTAGCCCCCAAATCATCTCCATCTAGGAAGCCCCAGATTCTTGACCCCCCTGGAAAGACCTGCTCTTTGAGAGTTTCTTTGACCCTATAAATGCATCTCAGGGTGTTTGAGACTCTCTAGATATGCACCTGTATTCTATGACAAACCTCCCAAAAGTGCACCTTGGGGCTCTCCCCCCTTCTCACTCCTGAGCTTCTCCAGTTGTGTTCTGAAGACACGCCCCTAGTCCCCCCATGGGGGAGCCTGGTCCTACACCCTCCCTTCAGGACAAGCCCTCACCAAGCACCCCCACCCCCCACCAACAGACAGGATGCAGCCCTCAGGCCCCAGCTGCCAGATCACCCCTTCTCTCCTGAAAGATCCACCCCTGCCCAGGAAACCTTCACCTCATTCCCAGGGGAAACCCTCCCACCTTAGAAAAACCTTTAAAATTAGGTATCTGTTTCTGAGATGCTACCGCAGAGGCCCCTGGGCCCCAGACCCCTTGAGAGCCCCCAGCCGGTGCCTGCATGGACGTCCTGGCCTATATAGAAAAAGGCCTCAGCCCTGGGCCCCTTGCACCCAGGGGCAGACCCAAAGCTGGCCAAAGGCCTGGCTGGAGGCTGGCCTGACCCAGGCAGGAAGGGAGGGGCCCAGACTTTGGGCGGGGCAGTTTCTCTACTGCTGGATTGGAACTGGGACCTTCCCCTGGGAGGAGACACTAGAAGCTGTGGAGGAGGAGGAGGGGAGGGAGGAGGAGGAGGAAGAAGGAGAAAAAAAGAGAGAAGGGGAGGAGGAGGAGAAGGGAGAGATCTAGCCAGGCAGATATTCTGGACAATAATAGCTCCCAATAACTGAGCACCTACTATATCCAGGCCATACATTAAATGCTTAACAGGAATTTCCCCGAAGCTCACAAATACTGGATTAAGTGAGTCCTATTTTTATCCTTAATTTCTAAATGAGGAAATTGAGGTTCAGAGAGGGGAAGTGATTTGTTCAATGCTGCACAGCCAGGACATAATCATGATGTAGGAGATGTATTTTATACTAGAAAGAGAGGACCAGGAGAGATTCAGAAAGGAAACAGGGTAGGGTGGGAGGAAGGGACAGAGACCCACAGAGAGAGGAACGGGGACCCAGAAAGAAGGGGGGGAGGCAGAGAAAGGCAGAGCCCAGGGGCAGGGCTACATCATCTGTGCTGCAGCACTGAACGAACAGCAGTAACAGTGTCTTCTCCCTCCCCACCAGTCCTACTTTGTCTCTGACTATGACCCAACCATCGAAGACTCCTATACGAAGATCTGCACTGTGGATGGTGTCCCGGCCCGGCTGGACAGTGAGGGCGAGGGAGGCAGGGAGCGGATGGGGGGATGGTGGTGGGGCTGAGGGCTCCTGGCGGGGGGGCGGGGGGGAGGGGGCGGCCAGTGGGAACCCCATCCCCAAGGCAGCCCCTCTCCGCCCGTCTGCAGTCCTGGACACTGCAGGCCAGGAGGAGTTCGGTGCCATGCGGGAGCAGTACATGCGCGCCGGCCACGGCTTCCTGCTGGTGTTTGCCATTAACGACCGGCAGAGGTGAGGAGTAGAGGGCGGCGGAGCGGGGGTGGGGCGTGGGGCGGGGAGGGCGGCTAGACCTCACACCTCTGGCTTCATCCGCAGTTTCAACGAGGTAGGCAAGCTTTTCACGCAGATCCTCCGAGTGAAGGACCGAGACGACTTCCCCATCGTGTTGGTTGGGAACAAGGCAGATCTGGAGACACAGCGCCAGGTCTGGGACACCCCCCCCCCCCCTGCCCCCCCCCCCCCCCCCGGAGGACCGCATCTCAAGCCTGGGAGGCTCCTTCCTGGGCTGCCTCCTCCAGCTCCCCTGGTCCTGCTCCCTCCACGGTCACACGCCATCACTAAATGTGTTGCTCCCAAGTTGGATCTCCTGAGTTCCCAGCCTTGCACACAGGACTTCCCAGGA